ACACCCCTCCCCCCATGCACAAATTTCGTGCACCGGGGCACTAGTTACTAAATAAAGTATGATAGATTCATAATAATATGCTTGATATGGAAGATCAGAGTAACTAGTTTTGTTACCATTTATGTTTTTAACCTCAGTATACTAATATATCCAGAGACCATCCTAGGAAGCTGGTATATGGGCAAGGCTAAAAACCCAGCCATCACTCTGCCTGGCCAGACCCCCTCCCAGCCACCACCACCACCTTAGGGCTGCAGGATCCTGTCTCGCTTTTGCCAGGCTCCCACACAGCCTGGTAGGCAAACAATAGGTGGGACTGAGCAGGATCTCCTCTTTGCCATCCCAGGGTCTGGTTGAACTCTCTGACCCTTGTCCTCATACCTGGGATGCACCTGGGGGATCTGACAAGGGGCTCCCTTCTCCCCAAGCTACACTCGAGAGGAGTGGAAGTTCTGGAGCCTACTTTCCTGCAATGGGGCCTGTGCTAGGCCAGTGCAGAGCCTTGAGCTAGGAAGTGAGCACATCCTACACACAGGCCTGCCCTCCATGCTCTTAATATGCAAAGAGCGCCTTCAAAAAAATCCAATAAAAATGGACAAATAGACTCCAATGCCCCATGTGAGTCTCCCTTCTCTGCAACGTGTTTCCCTGGAGGGCTTTGCAAGCCCAGGATACTGGAAAGCCAGCAAAATGGTCTGCACACCCAGGAGATGACAAGGACTCCAGGAAAACCCATCCTTGTTCCTGAAGTCCCTCCTTTTTCATGTTTCCCACTGGGGCATGTCACCACCATGAAGAGGCAGGGCCTGGGTGGGGGGGGGGGGGGGGGTGGTAGGAGGGTTCTTCTCCTGTGTACTCCCAGCAGCCATACTCTCACATTCTCCTTGCCCCAGAGGAGGGGGAAATGTCCCTAAATTCCAAGCTGGAAAGCTTCCTAGGCACTCACTGTTAGGGTTGCTGAAGGAGGAATGCAAGAGGCCAAAAGTGATAAGGGATTATACATTTATTAGAGGCCTGTTGCACGAAGAGATTTGTGCAATAGGCCTTCCCTTCTCCTGGCTGCCGGAACAGGTTTTCCTCCGGCACCCAGGACCCAGGCCTTTGCTCCAGCTGGAGCCGCCTTCAGTCTTCCATCTTCGTGGCTCCCGCTCACCTTCAGTCTTCCCTCCACCGCTTGGAACCTACATGTGCAAATTGACCGCCATCTTTTGTTGGCAGTCAATTTGCATATCATGCTGACTAGCCAATGGGAGGCGTAGCAAAGGTACACTCAATTACCATGTTTGTCTATTATTAGATAGGATTAGGTATCTGGGGACCAGATGGGCTGAGCCCCAAAATGGTGCCAGCACCCAGGGAGGAGGAGTCAGAGGTTTTAAAGAACTATAGGTGGGCTTTTGTGCTTTTTGTGCTTTTTTGGCAGGGAACTCTCTGGGCGGGTCCAGATCCTGGGAAAGTCTAGAGGGGAAAGATACTGGTCTTAGCAAGTGGCATGTGGTCTGAGTGAAAGGGAATGTCCATTGTGAAGTGGCCTAAAGGTCAGCTCCCAGAGGAAGGGTATTGATTTAATTATTTGGTCAGACCTAACATTCCAGCCACTTTGTTTTATGGAATAGGGACGAAGTCATATCTTCCATAGTTATTTTCTGCTGAGGGGATGTCAAGATCATAGAGGGATAGACCTTGTAGCCAACTGGAACATTGTATAGAGTCCTTATGGTTAGAGTAAGGGGTTCCAACAATATGATTTCCATGAGAAACTGGTGGTGAAAGCTCAAAAGTGATCCTGAAGGAAAGATGAAAAATGGCGCTGAAAACATGGGCCAAAAACGAGGATGAGGAATAAAAATGTTAATGGTCCTATGAAGGGAAGTAGCCAGGTATACCAATTTATATTCTTTAGCCAGCAGTTCCATGAATTTGATTGTCGTTCTCTAATCTTTGTGCCCCTTTATGTTAATTTTGGGGTGGCATCCCTGACTAGGCCAGACCGATTGACATAAAAACATTCTTCTTGCCCTGACTGGTTTGGCTCAGTGGATAGAGCGTCGGCCTGTGGACTGAAAGGTCCCAGGTTCGATTCCGGTCAGGGGCATGTACCTTGGTTGCAGACACATCCCCAGTAGGTGTGCAGGAGGCAGCTGATCGATGTTTCTAACTCTCTATCCCTCTCTCTTCCTCTCTGTAAAAAATCAATAAAATGTATTTTTTTATAAAACACGTTCTTCAAAGGACCTAAATAGACACCTTTCAAGAGAGGACATTCAGAAAGCCAAGAGACACATGAAAACATGCTCAAAGTCACTAATCATCCGAGAGATGCAAATCAAAACAACAATGAGGTACCATCTCACACCTGTCAGAATGGCTATCATCAACAAATCCACAAACAACAAGTGCTGGAGAGGATGTGGAGAAAAAGGAACACTCGTGCTCTAGGGAACACCACTCCTTTTTTCTCCTATCATCCCATATTCATTCTTATCACCTTTGCCAGATCTTCTACCTCTGCCTAAATATTAAATGTTTTAATTCTCTGCCTCTGTAGCATCGAACAGACTGTCAAACTACAGAAGGAAGGCTGGGTAGGGTTGTGCAGGGCGGTAAGAGATCAACTAAAGGACTTGTATCCATGCATATAAGCATAACCAATGGACAGAAGACACTGGGGGGTAGGGGAGGCCAGGGGATCGTCAAGGGCAGGGGAAAAAGGAGACATAGGTAATACCCTTTGTAATACTTTAAGCAATAAAACAATTAAAAAACACACACACACACATCCTTCTTCAGAAGGAGGAACAGACCCCCTTTCTCCACAGTTAGGAGGTCTAGTCCTCTCCGATTTTGGAGGGTGACAGTTGCTAGTGAGTCTATATGATACTGAATTTGAACAAAATTTTCGGCAATGTCATCTAGGCTTTCTTGTAGGTCCTGAGATAGGATTTTGAAATATGATAGAGCAGTGGTTAAGCCCCCTACACCAGTTCCAACCCCTGCTGTTATGTCAAAGATTATTAGGAGAGGGATTATATGGACTGCCCTTTTGTGTCAGATATGATTGGTTACAGGAACAGGTAAAGACTGATTATTGGGGGCTACATCTACATGGAGTCAGAGATAGACAAGGGTACAAGATCCTGTCCAGTTGGTTGGGAGGCAGATCTATGTGTTTTCCCGACAGAGGACAAAAAATCCCTTATTACAGAGACAAGCTGCAAGATATAGAGAGAAGAGGTGGACAAAAGGGTATGAGGTTCCTTTTCCCCAGTTCCATGCTCCAAACCAAGAAGGTAGTCACCATGGCGCTACCAATAAGAGGTGACAGGTGAGTGGTTGAGATTCTATTGCAGTGAAAGTGGGCGGGAACACTAGAATGGGCTGTTATCCAAGGGAAAAGCCAAAGGGAAGGAAAGGAGCAGTTGAAGCCTCAGGCCTGGATGGTTGATAAGAAGTAAAATGGACCAGCTGTAGGAAATAACCATTGGCTTTGGGGAGACCTGGTAGTCAACCCGTTGGGACCAATGGCTGTTCAGTAGTTTTAGGTTAAGTGTGGTGTTGCAAGCTGATAGTGAGAGATGGTTTATTATTATATTGCCCTGTGACCTTGTAAAGCATAGAGGGTCTTAGGTGACTAGTGGGGTGTGTAGAGTGATAGGACCTGTGACCAGGATGGAGGAAGGAGCTACTTAGTAAGAGACTGAATATAAGTGTGGAAAAGAAGGGAGGCTTGATTTGCCTGGGCTGTAGAATAATTACCTAGAGGGTGTCTGCCTTTTTGAGAAATATAGTTCCCTTTTCCTTTTTATAAGTGAGAGTGATTTTTGCCTGATTCCACCTATTAATTGGTATAGGGATGGTGGTATATGCTGAAGAGGAGAGGAAAAGGCAGAGCCAGCAATTCCTGGCTAAGGTTGGATTTGTCTGGTTTAGGAGGGAATGGGTAAGGTTAAGTGTTCATTTGAGATGAGTGGAGGTGAGAAATTTCCTTATGGGTGTAGGAGAGGAGGGCTGGGATAGGATGAGAAGGAGAGCTAATCCCCACTCCAGGGTTGGGATCATCCCCCGGTGGGGAAAGGGTATGTTTGGGATCTAGAAAGAAGGAAATCTCAGCCCATGGGTAATCAAAGTCCCCTTGGAGAAGGGAGTTCTATAGAAAGGTGAGAATCCGCCCTGACCAGTTTGATTCAGTGGATAGAGCGTCAGCCTGTGGACTGAAGGGTCCCAGGTTTGATTCTGGTCAAGGGCATGTACCGTTGTTTCGGGCACATCCTCAGTAGGGGGTATGCAGGAGGCAGCTGATTGATGTTTCTCTCTCATCGATGTTTCAAACTCTCTATCCTTCTCCCTTCCTCTCTGTAAAAAATCAATAAAATACATATTTTTTAAAAAGGTGAGAATCCTGATGCAAAGGGAGAGGGGACAGTAGCTAGGACCTGGAGGGTTTGCATTGGGAGAGAAGGTGGGCTTGCAGGGAGGTGAGGGTTATTGGGGTCAGTGCACAGGGGGCACATTCAGGGTTGCTCGCTCATTCGTCCTCTTCTTCTGGGATACGGGTAAGGTGGAGTCTGGTGGGCCTGATCTGGTGGCTGTGATACTTAGGGGACTCCAGCTCAAGCAATGGTGTTCCGGGGATGGGTTTTAATCTGGAAAAGTGGAACCATGAGGTGTGCCCTGATAGTGTAGCTGCAGTTGGGGTAGTTAGGAGTACCTGACAAGGGCCTTGCCATCGGGGCTGTAAATTATTTGGTGGATGGATTTCCTTTAGGAGGACCCAGTCCCCTGGCTGTAGAGGAGTAGGGGGATGTCTCCTGTAAAAGATCGAGTGAGGACCTGATCAGCATGTTCTCCCAGTAATTGTTGGATGAGATTTAAAAGAGGTAGGAGAGTACTCCAAGGTTCTTTAGTTTTGAGAGTTAATTTAGTTAGGTGAGACTTAATTAAGGAATTCGCCTTTTCTACCTTGCCTGAAGATTGGGGCTGGTAGGGGATGTGTGAGTTCCACTGGATGTTCAGAGTGGAGGGGACCTGTTGAGATATGAAAGCAGGTCCATTATCTGATTGTAATGAGGTGGGTAGGCCAAATCTGGTAATCATATGCTGAATGAGAGTTTGAGTGACCTCAGAGGATTTTTCAGAAGTAGTGGGGAATGCTTCTACCCAGCCTGAGAAGGTATCTACTAGGGTTAAGAGATACTTGGTTCTTTTAATAGAGGGCATGTGAGTGAAGTCAGTGTGCTCATCTTCTCCAGGTATTTGGCCCCTAGCCTGATAAGTGGGGTAAGAAGGAGGTCTAATCTAAACTGTCCATGGAGTGATACTGAGTAACAAGTAGAATAGGTTTCAATGTATCTTGCAGTAGGGGGGCTAGGCTAGGACATGTGATGAGGGGTTTTAGGAGTTGTAAAAGAGGTCTGTATCCTATATGTAGAGAATTGTGGATAGCCCATAAGATATCTCGGGTCTGTCCCTGGGGAAGGATATATTTTCCCTGAAATTTTAACCATGGATCTTCCTGAGTGGCCCCAAGAGCTAATAGGGACTGAAGTTCCTCTGGAGTGTATTTGGGTGTTAGATGGGGTATAGCTAAGAGTTGGGGAGATGGAGGCTTCCTCTGAGCTGCTGCCTTGGCCTCCTGGTCTGCTTTGTTATCTCCCTGTGTTACGGATCATTCCTGACTTGGTGTCCTTTGCAGTGTATGACTTTTAAGAAGGCTAGAAAAGGGGAAGGAAGATCCTATATACCAAGCAGGAAGACCTGTTGAGGCTTTCAATGATAGTGTCAGGACTGTGAATGAGTGGTGGAAATAAAGAAAGTCTAGGCTCTGATCTAAGGACATAAGCAACAGGAGAGAACCTGGGTGGGGTTGCTTGAACTTACTAGGAGAAAAGGGGTCCCTTCAGAAGTCAGGGGTGATCAGCTCCTGACTTGCTGAACACACTTTTTTTTTTACAACTTTCATAAACCTTTCTACTCATCCTATAATTAAAAAAAAAGGGTAATATGCAAAATGACCCTAACAGCAGAACGACTGGGAATGACTGGTCACTATGACACACACTAACCATCAGGGGCCAGACGCTCAATGCAGGAGCTGCCCCCTGGTGATCAGTGTGCTCCCACAGGGGGAGCTCTACTCAGCCACAAGCCAGGCTGACGGCTGCCAGCACAGCGGTGGTGGCGGGAGCCTCTCCTGCCTCCTCAGCAGTGCTAAGGATGTCTAACTGCAGCTTAGGCCTGCTCCTCACTGGCAAGTCGACATCCCCTGAGGGCTCTCTAGCCGCCAGAGGGATGTCTGACTGCCAGCTTAGGCCTGCTCCCCCGGTGGACATCCTCCGAGGGGTCCCAGACTGCAAGGGGGCACAGGCCAGGCTGAAGGACCCCTCCAAGTGCACAAATTTTTGTGCACTGGACCTCTAGTCCTATATAATAAAAGCCTAATATGCTAAGTGTCCAACCATTCAACCAGTCGCTATGACGTGCACTTACACCAGGGGGCAGATGCTCCAACCAGTAGGTTAGCTTGTTGCTGGGGTCTGGCCAGTTGGGACTGGGCAAGACTGGCTAGACACACCCTGGAGCCCTCCCACAGTCCCTCCCTGGCCCAAATTGTGCACCAGTGGGATCCCTCAGCCTAGCCTGCACCCTCTGCAATCTGGGACCCCTCGGGGGATGTCAGAGAGCTGGTTTTGGCCCAATCCCTGCAGGCCAGGCCAAGGGACCCCACCAGTGCACAAATCTGTGCACCAGGCCTCTAGTTCACAAATAACCAGTTTTAGCCAAAAAGTAAACAACCAGCATTTCTTAGATTGACAATTTTAAACACACTCTTACTTTCAAGAAAATATATCTTTAGCAGGTGAATTTAAAACTTATCTAGTATTCAATGTTTTTTTAATATATTTTTTATTGATTAAGATATTACATATGTGTCCCTGTCCCCACATCACCCTCCACCCCTCCCCCCCCCGTTGTCCGTGTCCATTGGTTGGGCCTCTATGCAGGGGGAGGAGAGAGCAGGCCCCCCAGCCTGTCCTAGGACTGCAGTTTCCAGGCCTCCAGCTGCTTGGATTTAAAACTGCCACATTGTTCCTTAGAGATAAAATGCTAAGGTTTGGGTGATATTGAGTTCAGCTCCTGATAGTAGCTGGACTGTTAAGTGTTTGCAGTTTTGCTGTAAAGAAAGTTGTTCTTGCCCAGTTAACATGGCTCAGTGGTTGAGTGTTGACCTATGAACCAGGAGGTCACAGTTCAATTCCCAGTCAGGGCACATGCCCAGTTGCAGACCCAGTTTGGGGTGTGCAGGAGGCAACTGATCAATTATTATCTTTCATTACTGATGTTTCTATTTCTCTCTCCCACTCCCTTCCTCTCTGAAATCAATTAAAAAATATTTTTTAAAAAGTTGTTCTTTGGGGAGGAGGTGAGAAGGCATTGAGGTGAGAGCAGTATTCAGAGCATTAAATAGTGAGAATGCTGGCCTTGGGATCTAAAGGTTCAACGAGAGGTCCCTTCACTGTGTCATACAGAGGCTTTGCAAGAAGACTACAGTTGGGAACCCAGAGGCGAAAGTACCCAGTGAACCCAAGAAAGAAGAGTATTTCTTGTCTAGAGGAGGGAAAGTCATGGAGGAGGTAATGCAGTTATGATCTAAGGCAGTGATGGTGGACCTATGGCATGCATGTCAGAGGTGACACACGAACTCATTTTTTTTGGTTGATTTTTCTTTGTTAAATGGCATTTAAATATATAAAATAAATATAAAAATATAAATCTTTGTTTTACTATGGTTAAAAATTTCAAAAAATTTCGATATGTGACATGGCACCAGAGTTAAGTTAGGGTTTTTCAAAATGCTGACACGCTGAGCTCAAAAGGTTCGCCATCATTGATCTAAGGTAATGTCTTTGTGGGGTAACAGTGAAACCAAGGTAGGTGACTGGTTCAGGACAAGTGAGCTTTATGAGAGGATATGCTGTAATCCCTGTCAGGCACCAAGGTAGAATGAGAAAAGAGTGGATAAAAGGGGGTGTCTAGTTAGATGCAGTATAGAGGTGAGGTGGCTAATAGCTGTGAGACTAATCCATCAACCCCCTTATAATAGAGACTGAGGAGGGGACAAGGGTCCCAGCGAATTTGGGGAGGGCAGATAAGTGGCCCCAGTGTCAATTAAGAAAGAGATTGAGACTGGCCTATATGGGTCAGTGGTTGAGTGTTGACCTATGAACCTGGAAGTCAGGGTTCTATTCCTAGTCAGGGGACATGCCCAGGTTGTGGGCTCGATCCCCAGTGGGGAGCATGCAGGAAGCAGATGATTGATGGTGTTTCTCTCTCATCGATGTTTATATCTACCCCTCTCTAAAATCAATAAATACATATTTTAAAATGTACTCCCCAGAACTGAACACAGCATTCTGGATGTAGATAACACTATAAGCATATAACATATGCATGTTGGCCCCAGACTGCAAGAGGGCACAAGCCGGGCTGAGGGGACCACCCACCCCTGCCAAGTGCACAAGTTTTTGTGCACCGGGCCTCTAAAATATATATATATATATTAGAGAATTCGTGCACGGGGGTGGGGGGGGCGGGGGGGAGAGTCCCTCAGGTTGGCCTGCACCCTCTCCAATCCAGGACCCCTCGGGGGATGTCTGACTGCCTCTCACAATCTGGGACTGCTGGCTCCTAAATGCTTGCCTGCCTGTCTGATCACCCCTAACCGCCTCTGCCTCACTTTGCACCCGGGACCCAGGATTCTCTCCTCTGACCAGTTGCAGGCACCCGGGACCCAGGATTCCCTCCCTCTGGCCAGGCATAGGCATCCAGGACCCAGGCCAGCTTCACCCAGGCTGGCCGCAGCCACAGGGGACCGTGGGCGGGTGGCTTCGCCCAGGCCATAGCCGCTGGTGCCTGGGACCACAGGGCATGCAGCTTGTCCCTCTCCCGGGCCACAGCCTGGCTGGTCCCCATTCCTCTCTTGCGAGCTCATTTGTGCCTGGTTGGTCCCCATTCTTCTCTCCCCAGTGTTGAGTGTCTGAGCAGTTACGGCGTGATGGTGTGAGGGCATGAAGGCGTGAATACGTGAGGGTGTGATGACCATTTGCATATTAGCTCTTTATTATATAGGAGATATATATATTAGGTGAGTAGCTTACCTGCCACCACAATATTTACCCGAGGCTCTGTCCTCATGATGTAAGTCTGTGGGGCCTTGTCAGGGCCTGGGCAGCTTCAGTCTTCAGTGGCCAGTCCCAGGAGTTCTGGGAGCTCCAAACTGGATCCAGAGGGCAGCATTGCTGGACTGGCTGAGGTCCAACCTGGAGAGGCCAGGCTGCAGTCTGATTTCCAGTGGTCTTCTCTTCCGCACCTTGACAGGGCCCAGGCTTGGGTCTCAGGTTTGGGCAGGACTTGGTCCAGTGTCTCCTTGTTGCATTTGAAGCATGGGCCTGGAGGAGGCTTAGCCCCTGACTTACCCTTGGTTGGAGGACTGACACTTTGGGGTTCGTGAGAGCGGTGACTAGGAGCTGGAAGGCTTCCTCTGGGCCTCAGCCTTGGTCTGATCTCACCCTTGTTTTTGGATTTGGGTCTCCTCATCTCTATTATTAAAGACCTTAAAGGCCAGGTTAACAAGGTCTTTTTGAGGGTTTTGTGGACCTGTGTTTATTTTTCAAAGTTTATGGCATATATCAGTGACTGATTAGGATATAAAATAAGTGTTCAGAGGAAGGGTTCCCTCTGGGGAGGTGGGGTTTAAAGTGGTAAATTTCTGTAAGGCCTCTGTGAGGTGGGAGAGGAGAGCTGGGTTTTCATCAGGACCCTGAGTGATTTCATTAAGCTTGTCATAGTTGACCATCTTATGGGCAGCCTTTCTGACTCCAGCAATGAGACAGGTGATCATATGGCTACAGATCCGGCGCCCTGGAGAAATAACCTGATAGTCCCATCTCTGCTCAGTTTGGGGGACTGTTTCAGCACCAATTGGGTTTGCCACTGTGTCCTGTCTATGGAGGGCATGGACATGGTCCTGAGCTGCTAGCCAGGTGTGCTCCTTCTCCTCTGGGGTGAGAGAGGAGGATAGGAGGACATAGATGTCGTGCCAGGTCAGGTCATAGGACTGGGTCAGGTACTCAAATTCCTTAGTAAAGGTGGTTGGGTCAGTGGAAAAAGAATCTAGTCTTTTTTCAATCAGGGAAAAGTCGGACATAGAGAATGGGACATGGACTTGGACTATGCCCTCAGTTCCTGCTCCCTCCTTCACGGGTAGAATGGGCTCGGGAATAGAAAGGCTGTTGAGGAAGGTGGTATTTGGGTGGCCTGAGAACAAGTATTAGGTAGGATAAGGCTGTTTTGGAGCTCGTGTTCTTAGGATTTGGGCTCTCAGGGGCTGGGGAGAAGGCGGTTGCTGGTTAGGAGGGTCTGGGTTATGGGACTCTACTGCAGGTGAGGGAGGTCAGTGATCTTCTGGGTCAAAAGTAGATTCAGAATCAGAAGTGTTAGGGGTATGATGTTTGTGAAAAAGAAGGATCTGATGGGTAGAGCTGGACTGACAGAGAGAGGGTCAAGACAGAAGGGTGAAAAAGGCCTGGATGTAAGGAATCTCTGACTATTTTTCCATTGCAGTGAGAGCAATTATCTAAATCGGGCAATGTGTTAAAATTGAAAGTGCTGTTTTCCGGCCATTGAGACTTATTATCTAGTTTATATTGTAGCCAGTGTTACAAAAGAAAATGAGGTGTTTGGACCTGATCTCACCCCCGCCCCCCCCATGAGTCTAAGGCAGTCAAAATTTTTTAAGGGACAGCCAAGAGGGGTCATTTTAGGGGGTGTGGAGGGAGTGTTCCCCATGATAAGAAGAATAAGTGTGGTCCACGAGGGGAAGGGTGAGTGACAGACCACAAGTCCAAAGGTGACTACTTAGAGCAGGTGTCCCCACTGCTAAACAAACCACCACGAGAAACGAGGGCCAACCCTCCAGACTGGGTGTCCCCATTCCAGAAAGACCAGAGGCTGAACGGCGGAGGAGTCGTCTGGCCTAGCGCTAGGACTTTCCAGAAGTCAGTGAGAGTAAGTGGGCAGAAGACTCGACACAGGGAAATTGTGGAACGTCAATTACCTAGAGAAGATTGGCCTGGCCGGTGTGGGATGGAGAGTCACCAATGGAGGAGAGGTTCCTG